GGATGGTTCAGGATGGTTCGGGATGGTTCAGGATGCAGGGACTGTGCTGTGGGAAGGTTCAGGATGGTTCAGGATAGTTCAGGTTGCAGGGACTGTGCTGCCCATGCTGTGGGATGGTTCAGGATGGTTTGGGATGGTTCAGGGTGGTTCAGGATGCAGGGACTGCATTGCCTGTGCTGTGGGGTAGTTGTGGAGGACAGACCCTGCAAGGGGGGCGGCTCTGGAGGACCCTTGTGGGTGGGTTTGGGGCATTTGTGGGGTCTGGTTGGGTTTTTGGGGCTGTGGGCTCTGGCAGGGAGGGCTGTTGGCCGCTTTGTTTTCCTGGTCATCATGTCCCTGGCCATCATGTCCCACCAGTCAGTCTGTCCCCCTGGAGACCAGTCCTCCCTTGGCACTCGTGACCACGGCGGGGCTGGGCTCAAATCAGTCTCTGAGCCCTGGGAGCACCAGCAGCCATTTCCAGCTCTTGGGGCAGCTGTGGGATTGCAGGGTTCGGGTGCAGGAGCCCCCTGACCCCCGTTCTGCCCGGCCAGGGAAGGACTACGAGGGCTACACCCCGCTGTGGTTCGAGCGCAAGGTGGACGCCGTCACCGGCGAGCTCATCTGTGTCTACAAGGGCGGCTACTGGGAGGCCAAGGACAAGCAGGACTGGAGCGTGTGCCCCGACATCTTCTGAGCCCCCAGTGCTGCAGGGCCACCCCTGGGACAGCAGCACAGCCCGAGGGACAGCGAGGACACGCTGGCAGCGTCCTGCCGGGCCGACAGAGTCAATACATGCAGAGATCCAAACAGGGATTCCAAACCTATTTTTTTATGCACTAATAAATAGCACCCTTTTTTTTTTTTTTTTTTGGGGGGGGGGGTCGTTTTGTTTTGTTCTTTTTTTTAAATGATGGCTTTTCCAGAGACTGCTTAGGTGGAGCTGGGTTGGGTTTAGGATGTTCATCTCTGTCAGGAGTTGCTGCCTATATCCTCCAGTGCCTCGGCTCTGGTGGCCAAGACGTCGACTTCCAAAGATGCCCGGGTTGTGGGAATGCTGTGCTTGTGTGAGCTCTTCTCTTTGCCATTTGTTTTTTTGGTTTTTTTTTGGGACTCCATTTCTGTGTGGACTTTATGGAATTATTTTTTTAAAAAAACAAATCCTGCTCCTGGTTCAGGTTTCCTTCAAAGATGGACACAAGTCTGCTTGGAAAACTGTCCCCAGGAGCCATGGCACTTCATCCCGGAGGCTCTTGGTGGTTCCACAGTTCCCAGTCATCCCAGTAACATCGAGTAGGATATTTCAGCTGGTGACTTCGGGGTTTTTGACCTGGTTTTTGTTTCATTCAAGAGCGTTGGAGGTGCTTCCCCACAATCTGATGTGTTCAGGCAAAGCTTGGGCCTGTCTTTATCGTGTGGGAGTGGTTTGAGTGAGGTTTGCTTTGGTTTTCCTGCAACCACATCCGAAGGGGGAAATGGCCTCAGCGAGGCTGGGAATGCCAGGCTGATGCAGTGAAGAGTTTTTATCCCAGTGATGCTCCTGGCTCCGTGTCCCTGCTCCATATCCCTGTACATGGGGGCTGGGTCTCGATTCCAGCTTCTCCATCAGTGTCTCCCTGCTGAACTGTGCCTCATGCTGGGTGGGAGAGGAGGGGAGAGGAGAGGAGAGGAGAGGAGAGAGGAGAAGAGAAATGCCATGGTGCTGCTGGGATGGAGCCTTGGTCCCGCTCAGCCAGACAAGCCTGGCCTAGGCTGAGGCTGGAGGGTCCCTGCATCCCAGCACCTGCTCCCAGCTCCTGTCCCTCTCCTCCCTCATCCTGGGCTCTCCCTGGAGCAGCTCCAGTTTTTCAGGGCAGGAACCTCTCATCCCCCTCACCCCTGCTGGGTGCCACCACCCTGCTTGGCCCTGGGTGCACCGGGACAAGCGGAACGAGCACTGCTGGTGACAGGTGAGGACCCAGAGCACCGAGGGGAAGCAGGAGGTGGCAGCATCCCAAAGATGGGATCTGCTGGGCCAGGGAGCAGCAGGGAGCACCTGGAGACATGCACTGACCCTGCTGGATCTCATTTTTGCTGTCTCCTTCTCTGGCTCTCCATCATATCACACTGACCCTGCCTCCGGGGCCGCCCCGAGCTGGGCCTGTCACATCCACGTGGAAATTAATTAGCAATAAAGAATCTTGAGGCAATGGTAACTGGAATATCCAGGCTGCACACGGGACACTTATGCAATCAGGTTCCTCATCCATCAGTCTCCTCCTGATCAGCTTTCAGCACTTCCATTCCTGTGATCCCCACCGTGTACAGTCCCCACGGTCCTGGACAGTGTCACTGTGCTGCGGGGCAGCCCCCACTGCTCTCAGTGCACCCTTTAATCTTATTTATTTGCTTCTAATTTATACATATATATAAAAATATATATAAAATTATTTTGCTTAAATTTCTATGGTACACAATAGATGTAAAATGATGAAGACAGAAGTGTCTGTCTGAGTTTTTACAGCACGAGTACGATTCCCCTCGGCTCGTCCCCGAGCTCGGGTGATGGAACGATTCCCATTGCAGGGAAGGGACGGTTTGCTCCAGAACTGGATCCTGTAGCATGGAAAAAGTGTTCCAGAGACATTCCCACCTGGAAACGATGTGTTAGGGGTTTGAGGAGTGGCACTAGGGGTTCCTGGGAGTGGGATGCTCCAAGCTGCTTCCCAGTGTCCCGAGAGTTGCAGCAGCTGCTCTGGAATGTTCACTTCTCCCTGGAGCTTTGCCCTGGCTCGGGAAAGCTGATCTGAAACGATCCAGCCTGGGAGTCAGCCTGTGCAGGGCTGCCCATGTCCCAGCCCCAGGTGTCCTGGGGTGCTCCCACTGATCCCTGGTCCACTCGAGGCCCGAGTCAGGTCTGTAAATGGCTGAAATGGAGCTCTTCAGAATGCCTTATTTTCCTTTCTGCTGTGTCAATGCAAGTGTCACCTGGGAGCTTGGAGCAGGGAGAAGCTCCAGCACAGGCTGTTCCCAAGCTGGATTGGGGTGTTCCCAGATGGAGCAGAGCAGGGAGCAGGATGTTGCTCCCTAAGTGCTGGCACCGAGGGGTCCCCTCTGCTGTGCCCCCATGGCCTCATCAGTCTGGGAACCCCTATCACAGACCCTGCACAGCTCCACGGAGTGTGGGGGAGCACAAGGAGCACCCCAACCCAGAAATCTCCTGGATTTTAGGCTAATGGAAAAAATTGCTCCATCTTCCAGAGATCATCTTAACAGCAGCACTTAACCAGAGCACCATCTCCTGGTCCTTCTGTTCCTCCTCGAGGATTTTAATGTCATTCCACTATAAATGCTGTTGAATGTATTTTCTTTTTGAACAATAATATATTGTGAGTGATCCCTCTTCTCCTACACGGAAATAAAACTTGGATTCGGGAGTTTTAAAAGCTGTGGTGCTGAGATGGTCACTGGCTCCCAGGGCTGCAGGTCCTGGGGGAGCTCTGGGTGTGAGAGGGGACATGGACACAGGGAGGGATCCCGGAAGGTGGCACAGGAAGGAGAAGATCCAGGGCATGCTGCTTAAAGGAGGAGGTTGCCCAAAGGACAGGGAAGTGGTGGTTCAGGGAAGGAGAAGGTCCAGGGAGGGTGATTTGAGGGGCGGGAGGGGAGGTGATCCAGGGGAAGTTATCCAAGGCAGGAGGTGGCCAAGGGGAGGAGGTCCAGGGAAGCAGGAGCATGGAAGGAGATTATCTGGGAGCAACAGCTTGAAGGAGGAGAACGAGGGCAGGGTTTGCCCCGAGAGGGAGAGGGGCCAGGAGAGGAGTTGAGATGTCCCAGAGGATAACTGTGGTCACTGCGCTGCAAAGAGAGAGAAAGAACAGCAACACACACGGAGCTCTTTGGGGAAAAAAGGCCAATTTATTGTACAGACAGCCCGGATTTAAAGTGTGTTAGTGCAGCCAGGACAGGACAGGAGCTCATTGGACGATTGGGAAAAACATCCCTGGGACAGCATCTCAGGATGTATCCCCCAGGAAAGACACCAGGTGTTAATCTTTATGATGAATTCCACTCTGTTTGTCACCGTGTTCTCACCCTGGGAGACTCCTCCCTAACTGAAGCTGCAGTCAGCTTGTCAGCCTGGGAATGGAGCTGAGAGTCAGGAGAAATCCAGGCCTGGAGAGAATTTCCAAGCTGTGATTCCCCAGCTCTCTAAATGTGTGTGTCCACAGGGATCTGGCCAAGGGGGAAGATGGCTCAGAGGAGGAGGAACAGGGAATGAGGAACAGCAAATGGGGCTCAGGGGAAGGTACCAGACGCGGAGATTCCCTGGAGATGGTGGGGAGGAGCTGCCCCAGGGGATGCTGAGCGGGGCAGGAGCAGCCCGGGGGAGCTGGAGGAAGGTCTGGGCAATCCGGGCAGGCTGAGGCCAGTCCCTGCGGGAAGTTGCCGGGAGACAGGGACACACAGCCCTGCCCGGCTGGCTCTGCCTCCTCTGTGCCGGCCCCAGGTGAGTCGGGGGATCCTGGCCCTGGGACCCTCCCTGTGCGCTGGGCACGGCGGGGACCCCGGGACCTGCAGCTCCCGGGTGCAGCTCCAGTGCCGATGTCCCGGTTATAAGGAAAAACAATCCCCGGTCCCCATCACCCGCTGGCACCGCAGCTCCGGAGGCGGCTGGGCCGGGCTGGGCTGGGCTGGGCCGGGCCTAGCACACCTGGCCCAGCACACCTGGCCCAACACAGCTGGAACAGCACACCTGGACCAGCACATCTGGACCAGCACACCTGGACCACCTTTGCTCCATCCCCTCCAGCCTGCAGCGCTTTGGGAGCCCAGGGTGGTTCCTGCCCTGCTCGGCCCCACTGGAGAACCCCCCTGGGGATTTCTGGCCCATCCCCAAGGGCTTTGAGACCCTCGGCGCTTCTTTCCTCCTCTCTGCAGCCCTGGACCCTGGCGTTTTCAGGATCCTGGATCTGGACCCTGCTGATGCCCGGCAAATCCAGGTGTGGGGTGTGGGAACGGGGGGCTTTGCAGGGCTCAGATGTGGGGGTGCAGATACAGCACCAGCACTGGGATACTCCTGCCTTGTCCCCCCCGGTGAACACATCTGGCACTGCCCCATTCCCTATTCCATCCCCTGTTCCACCCCCTGCAGCAGCCAGGTGTGGCTGTGCTGAGCGCTGGAGGCAGAGGGGACAGTGACGGTGACATCCTTCCCGGGATGGCCGGTGAGTGGGGATGGGGAACTTTGGGGGTTTTTCAGCTCTGCTTGGCCCCCCACCCCCTCTGCCAGTTCTCATGAATTCTCATTCCTGGCTGGGAATGATGGTGGGAGCTGGGGAAGGGGCTGGAGCCCCAGGAGAGGCTGAGGGAGCTGGGAAAGGGGCTCAGCCTGGAGAAAAGGAGGCTCAGGGGGGACCTTGTGGCTCTGCACAACTCCCTGACAGGAGGGGACAGCCGGGGGGGTCGGGCTGTGCTCCCAGGGAACAGGGACAGGACAAGGGGAAATGGCCTCAATTTATGCTGGGGAGGTTCAGATTGGGTATTAGAGAAAACTTCTTCCTGGAAAGAGCTGACAGCATCCCTGCCCCATCCTGGATGCTGCCAGCCCTCCCTGGCACTGTCCCCCTTCCAAGCTGTGCTGACCCTGGGAGCATCAAGGTCAAAAATAACCCTGGTTTAAAATTAAAATAAGGATGATATTGTGGCTTTTCCTGCTGGAAGCAGCTGAGGATCTGGTAGGAGAGGGTGGGATGTGTTCATGTCGGTGCTTTGGTGCACCCCAAGTGCTCCCTGATAAGAACAGGAATTGCCAGCCCCTCCAAGGTGGTTCCAGCAGGATGAGATGCCTCCTTCCCACTGGGCTGGGCTCACGGCTCTGCTGTGCTCCACAGAGCTGTCAGGACGTGGTGCTGGGTGTGCCCGGGGTGCCAGCCCTGTTCCAGGGGAAGAGAAGCACTCCTGGGCTCAGCTCCTGGGCTCCCGGCCCAGCCCGGGGCACTGGAGCAGCTCCAGCTCCGTCTGCACCGAGGACTTCGCTGCCAGATTTTGGGAGGGAATGGTGGAGCCGCTGCTGTGCCAGCAGGAGCCTGCTGGGGATGTCCCCAGGGAAGGAGCTCATCCTGGGCAGGATGAATCCTTGTTCCCCACAGGGAGGAGCCTGGACACTCGGGCACAG